GTGCTGGATGTGCTGTCCCAGTGAAGAGCTAGAAGGCACTCACCTGAAACATCTAATTTTGGGTTCCTATGGGACAGCTGTTGATTCCCCAAGTTTGCTTTGTAGAAAAGTTCTATGTAAACTCAAAGGTCCCAGAACTTCACCTCATTCAAATATGTATTTTTTAACCTTCCATTGCACCCTCATTTCTCCATAGACACTGTTCTTACCACAAAGATAAATTACCAGGTTCACCTAGAAACTGAAACAATCACTTCCAGAGCTCAAGTCCCCAAAGGGGTGTTAACTTGGCCTTATTTAAGGAGCTGGTGCAAGGGGGAAGACTCTTAGCTGTTATAAATCATCACATTCCACTGAAGTCAAAGGATCTGTATGTTCGTATCCACCCAGAAACTGATCAAGTATTTTGTTGGATCACGTGTGCTAAAATTGTGTCTCAGCATTTTTGGCCACAGAGCAGGACTCCGCCAGACATGCTGCACACTCAAAACTCAACATCTTAGACACAGATAAAGCTTTGTAAATTCTGATGTTGTCCTTTAAGAATAGGAGTTAAAAACCTTTGAACTAATGTGTTTCTCTCCCTTCTCCTACCAGGCGAAACCCCCTCCACTTCCACCTCATCGCAGATGCAATTGCCAAACAGATCCTGGCAACTCTGTTCCAGACATGGATGGTCCCTGCTGTGCGCATAGACTTCTATGATGCAGACGAGCTCAAGGTAAAGACACACAGACACAGGTGTCAGTCATATACTTCTGATCTGATGTCACCCCTTTGTTCCCCATCTCCCTTGACTGGTGAATTGCAGGGGAACTACTGCCTACAAATATTCTCCCTGACGACAGCTAATTCTAACTGACATGATTGTAACCCGATTACACTTAGCTAGAAGATGCTAAATGGCTAAAATCAGTGCACTTTCTCTGGAATGAGAGCAGCTAATGAATTATTTTGTTTAGCAGCTTAGAATTTTACCTGCTAGTAAGAGGATTCTGACTGTCCATCTGATCACATCATGTTTTTTTAAGGATACTTCATCCTAGTAGCAGTAGTGGAATCTTAAGTATCTTGCTCAATAAGCCCAGGTCTGTTACTGGAGACACTCAGCTGCCCTGCATTCCTCGAGCATAGGTGTGTGAAACCCTAAGTACACACACTGTGATGAGGTAGCATTAGTACAATAGCTACCTTTTTTATTTGGATGCCCTTCCAAAAGGAATGAATATGAAAAGTGTTCAGTCGGGGAGGGGGGAAATCGCTCACTCAAAGTAATTATCTTTTCAGAGTTAAAAAGTTTAAACCAGAACATGGAGGCACAGTATTGATTTTGAGCTGTATGTTTTTTCCTGTGGTGGTAGAATGAAGTCTTCAGATTTTAGCATTTGAAGTTTGTGGCAATAATTTCTATGACTTACCAGACTGTTCTGAACAGCACCCTGAAACAAGGAAAAAAACCAAAATTTAGCAAATTAGCTGTACTTACTAAGGAGGAAAGTCAAAGCACACCATGTTGTGAAATAATGAATACAGAAAGCTTTAGAAAGAGATGGAAAAGGGGAAAAAATTTATTCTTGAGAAAAATACTTTTTCTGTTTTTATTTTTCATTGGTTCTTCTACATGAAGCCATAAGCTGATATTAACCTAATTAGCTAGAGAGCTTCCTTCTGCTCTTTGTAGCTTCATAGCAAGGAGGAGGTTTGTTCTTATAAGTCTTGTACGTGTCTATGTTACATGTGCTTCTCTGCAAATTGTAGGGTTTTTAATTAGCCTCTCAGCTGGGGAAGACAGACCTCTTAGTGTTTTCCTTCTGGTCATTTGGGTATGGTCCAATCTAGTTAAGTAAATAATAACCAAGAGAGCTTACTTCAGTGATCCCCAAATTTCTGATTTATAGGCAAAGCACTGAGCATATATGAGACTACAGAGCAAAATTGTTTTGTCCCTCCCTCTTCACTCAGCCTGAATTTTTTCATATGACTGGTGACCCAAATCAACACTAGACTATCTTGCATGTAACCCATAGGCTTTAGGTTGAGGACCACTTTCTAGCTGGATGCAGGTATTGATGCATAAATAGGTCTTTCCAGGTTTGCCCCTCTTGTTCAGAGCTCATCATTCTCCATACCAAGCAATTTCCCTGATTTCAGTGGCCAAAAAAATACAGTATGTAGTACTGAGCATAGGGGAATGTGACAGACACTGCCAAAGGAGAGCAAAGAGTTATAAACAGAGTTTTAAAAAGCCGGGAATGATGCTGGCTCATATCCAGATCATTCTGCAGGTTTTAGCAAAGACGACAAGAGGAGCTGTTTACAGACAGCTGTAGGAGCTCATCTCATTTGTTTCTTATGTAGCCCCTAGAGAGGATTTAATGATTGGTTTGGGTTCATGTATTTCACCTGCACTCTTGGGAGCTGTATTATGCTGCCTGGTGTTAAGAAAACATACAGCTGGTGCTGGATGTTTACTAGAAAGCCTATCTTTCTCTGAAGTGATCTATGGATTCACTGTTACAGTATATACTATGTTTCAGTTTAAATGACCCTCCATAGTTCTTTTTTAAACCTGTAATCAATACCAATTTCTGACTTTTAAAAGGGTTTAAAATGAGTAATAGCATGAGAACTTTCTGCTTAGCTTTCATTCACCAGTGTACAGTTGTTTTGGAACACATTTTAGCTGCTACAGAAAACATTTCATTTCACGTTTGGTTTTTTTCCCATTGGATATGTATAAGCTTCCAGTCTCTTCCTTCTAATGCTGGCATGTTGGATTAAGCCCTTAAGTCCTGAGAGAAGTTCTGCTCCTGTTCCTGCTCAAACAGTGGAAGGGAGCACATAATATTAGATCCTCCATAAATAGTATGGATGCTTTTTTGTTTTCAGGTAGCTATTTAGAATTCAGGCAGCAGTTTCCAGTAGTGTATTCTGTATTTTTCAAAATACAGAATTTGGAGACTAAAATATTTGGTATTTAGCAACATTTCTTAACATATCCTGCAGCTCTTAAAATACATGCTGTTTAGCTTAGAATTAGAGCAACCAGTGTCCTGAAGGAAGGCATAGAGAATTAGTCTTGGCTGTGGCTGTTGTTTTCACTCAGGTTTTAGAGGAAGACTGGACACTGCAAGAAGGGGAAGACAAGGTACCACAGATTATATCAGAATTTCTAGGGTTAGCAAACCAATATATCTACTTTGCTTCTGTGAATTAGGCATGTCAAGTGTTCCTTTTAAAATTTAGAGAAGACTTATTTTTCCTTTTGCAAAGTGACACAGGTGTTCACGTTCCTGTTGCACCACAAAGAGCCTAGGTTCATTCTCTCCCTAGAAGCAGGTGCTGCCAAACTACCAGCAGCCTTCTTGGAAGAGGGATGGAGCACAGGAAAGAATGACCAGGGAAAGGTGTACCTTTGCTTGGGGCACTTGATAGGGGATGGGACAGAAGAGGAAGAGACTAAACTCTGGAGCTGAGCCAGAACAACAGCATTTCCAGGAAAAGGTTGACACAGTCGAGATGGCAGCTTGCTAGATGTATTTCTTCAAACCAGTTAGATTGAAGATTTTAACAGCCAGTTCTACTAAGATGCTTGTAACCTTCCCCAGCATAACTTGGCCTGTCTCCTCACTGCCTTGCCAATAACCTCAAGGGAGATAGATGGGTGCTTAAAAGCTCTGCCTCAATTGACAAGCTATTCAGATTGTGAACTCTGTCCCATTAACTAAACTTGCTATGTGCAGTTAGTAATCAGCAATAAGCATCCTTGAAGTGTGGGCTGCTGGTAATGGTGCCAGTAATTGAACTATTCCACAGCTACCTACTTCCTTCTTGCTCTACTCAGTATGGCCCACACATAACTCTTCCAAATTTATGTGGACACATATGGCTGTGACTGCAAACTGGAAAGTTAGTTGGCAGTGTAAATTCACTTTATATGATCACTTCAGTTGTGTTAATCAGCTTTGGTCTTAATGTGGTAGATGTATCTATTACAGCAATGCATCGCACAAAATAACTGGAAACTGGTCTTCTTTGAACATTAAATAAAAGAAAAAGAATGCCTGTGAAACATTCATCTATTTCAGCTGTGATTTGCAAATATCAGGCTGGAGGGTATTGGGGATTTTTCAATTCAGTCTTACATGAAGAAACTCCAGAACAAACTATTGAAGGTGTGCAGCTTGGGCACTTGGCTTCTACATTTCATTGTTAAACATGGAATCTCATGTCAGTTCCCTCACAGGGAAATACAGGCATTAAATCCATTGTGATCTGCTCTGTCCCAGAGCAGAAGGAGCAGCTGATAAGGCAGTACTGTATGTGATGGGTGGAATACAGATGAGACGAGTTTGTTTTCCCAGATGTTGCCTGACACACTGATGACAACATCAGGTGAACCGAAGAAGGCAGAATGTAGAATGAGCAGTTGCCTGCTCCCCAGATAGAGTCTCACTGATAGAGCAGAAAAGCCATCTCCTTTAAATAGTTAAGCCCACATGTGCTGCAATTGATTTAGGAACTTGGAGGGATGGTGAATAGGTTTTTGTAGTAGATGAACATTTGATCTGAAAGGGGAAATATGAAAAGCTCCATTCTTTGCTATATGTATGGACAATATTCCAGCTTTTACTGTTCCCAGAAACAATAGACCACAAATCTGAGTACTAGTGCTGCATTAGGTGATTTCTCATCAGAAATGTTGATGTCTGCACACTCATTCAAAATCAGTGATCTGATGCAGCACAACCAAACTCAGATAATGCGTGGCGTAAATATCACCTATCTTTGGGCATTTACTGCAGTATGAGATGAGTTAGTAGGTAGTTAGTTAGTTAGTTAGATGAGTTAGTTAGTTCTTAGCTACTTTCATCTGAACTTTGAAGACAGTTCGCTAGATACTAACACCATTTGGACAGGCATCACAAAATACTCTGTTAGAAGTATTAGAAGAGTTAGAAGGGACCCACAAAAATCATCAAGTGCAGCTCTTAAGTGAAAGGTCCATAGAGAGATTGAACCCATGACCTTGGTGTTATTAGCACCATACTCTAGCCAACTGAGCTAATGGGCAAGGGCTATGAGATTTAAGCAGAAAAATAAAGTTTAATTCTTTAATTATGATTTTAGTGTAGCTGGCTCTCAGGGCTATGCCTGTGTGCACCCCCAGTGCACTTAAATTCCCACAGTGGTCCAGGAGCTCCCAGGCTTGTTGTGTGCACAGATAAGATAAAGGACTGGTTTGAGACAGCAGCCCAAGTTGAAACCAGGTGATTGATGGAACTTCTAGCACAATAAGTATTTGACTGCTTGTTACAGGAGCGGTCCTGGTGGGAATTTCAGACAGTTCCTGAGATTTCCCAGGCAGACCCTGCTGTGCCTAGAGCAATTTGTATGCTTGAGCATGTCGATTAACGTCCTGGGCAAAGAATCTGGCTGTCCCAGATATTCACAGACAGTTCCTGCTGCAAAGTTAATCAATTGTACAAGAGTAAGAAAATCAATAGGAACAGTTCCTGCATGTGTAGAAATGATCATGTAGGACAGTCTTTTGTACATACTTAAGATAGTTAGGAAATGTTTTGTATGTAGGTTAAGGTGATCTACAGTAACACATATGTATCTTGAAGTGGTCAGGTAGGACCATGGGCCAGCTGCATTACAAAAATTGCACGGGAATGTGTTTTAGGGAGTCTCAACCCAGTCCAACTAGGATGACCCTGTAAGAACCCTTGCTATGGAGACTCCCTTTACCATCCACACTGCAAGTGTCCTGTCTGGCACATTGTACTGTCCGTGCAAAAATTATTGTAAATCAAAATCCCAATAATGTTAGCTGTTTTAAAGTATGCTCAGTATGTGAGTGTCTTGGCAGCAAATTGCACCAAAAGCAATTCAAATGCCATGAAATCTTTAGATACCAGCAGAAGCTCTTCCAATGAATAATAGTAGTGATTGGGCTGTATGTATTGTAATATTGCCATATACCAGTTTTGGAACCATGATCAAACGAATACTTCTAATGGAATGGCAGCTACCACCAGCTGAGCATGGGAGAGAGGGATTCTGATGGGCAGTTGGAAAGATGTGAGAGTGTTTGATGAACAGATCATTAGTTTGGTGTTTTTCACATCAGTTTAAGAGGGTGACAACAATAGCAGTGTTGATAAAGCCTTGAACAATAAAATTGGTCAGCATTCTCCTGCCTTCCACCATCATTCTAGTCAAGATATTCCACTGGATGTTGCAGCCACGCATAGCAATCTATCTACAGTAAGAGTGACTGACCCCTAAGCTATCATGGAATGTAAGAGTTTGGCTGTATTTGCATTGCACTGCATGCAGATTATGTATTGTTAAGGGCAGCACAGGGTTGTTTATCTGTGAAGTAGTTCACTGTGTGCCTCAGAGGCAAACACACAAAAGTTCTAAAGCAGAAGTACACTACTTTCCTTCATTTCTTACCCACTTCATATGCAAGATCTAGTTGCTATTAATGCAATACAGAATGAGAAACCCAGCATCTGTTTATGTTGACATTCAATTACGCAGCAGTAAGTATTCAGTTAAAGTATTTCTACAGCACTGAGGTTTTGATCTAAAACTGTCATGTGTTATGGGGGGCTTGCAGTGCTCCTGCATTTCACCAGCCTTTTGTCTTTCTGTAAAATGACCTACTGCACACATCAGTGAAATAGTAGGTATAGACTGCTGTTTCTTTCTGCCCTTTCCCCTTCTCTTTATTTTTTTAAAATATGCAAATTCAATATTTTGGAAAACAAAGTCTATAATCACAATATTTTACAGATCTTTATAACTTGTGTAGCTTAGCTTTAGACTTGAATTTCCCCTTTATAATTGAGATTTTGTGTACTTGCTAATGGACATATTGAATACTAGAGACCTGAAGTCTCAGGTGGTAAAATGGCTTGTGGTTGTGACACAGGGCCACCACTTTAAGAACAGGATCTTTTATCCATGGTTTTCAGTACAGACGACTGGAAATTAACAGACATGGTTTTGTAAGCCAAGAAATTTTCCTTCAGACTGTTTGGGAGGAAATTAGTATCCACCAAGAAACAGATAGCAATTCAAACTCCCCAGCACAGTGGAACCTTTGTGAAGAGGTCAGAATCTATCCTGAGCAGCCCAAGCAGTACTTCCTCTGTCCTCCCAGTCCCTCTTCTGCACAAAAAAAAAAAAAAAAGAGAACCATGCAACATTGGAGATTGTTATTTACTTGTATTTTTCATTATTATTCATACATAGAATATGAAGAAAGTAATTTTACATAAAATCAGACTGGGTCTTACATTTCTACCTATTCTAAACAGGTGGTCAGAAAGAAGTGCCATGGAGATCGCTGAAGGTGGTCAGAAATTGGTCATGATAATGGGACTCATAGTGCCTTTGTGACTTAGCAGTTGTCATCTGCTTAGTGATGTGTAACTTTCATGAGTAACGTCACCCCTGATTCTGTGGGGGGAGGCAAGATACCAAACATGGAATAGTTTCTTGCAGATTTTTATGTAGTTTCTCTTCAGATCTACAAGTAAATCTCTTCAGATTGACAAATCTAATCAGTTAGTTTGACATTTAGAACTGTTAGTTTGGTATGCTGAGATGAAGCCCAGTGTGATGCAAGAAGGTGCAGTATTTTCTGGACCTCTTTCAAGGGTCCCAGTCTTCCTCTAATGTTACGTTGTGCAGTGTTTCTACTATATTCCAGAAGAAAGCCTCATGTCTGACTCTGTAAACCCCTTGTACTTTCCTACTGTTGTTGGTGCTTTGAAAAAACATTGGAGTTCTTTGTTAGTTTTATAATTCAGTTCTAATTGCTGTGGGCCTCTCTGTAGCTCCACCTTTTTCTTGATTGTAGGGAAAAACAGTACAGTTGTTCTGTTCTATGTCCACCAGGAAGACAGGATAGCTGCTCTTTGTAACATATGTGGAGTGAGGACTAAGGAGCCAACTCTCTTCCATTTAACATCACCCACATTTGTATCATCATAGCTGACTCTGACATTTCAACAGCAAGGATTTTTGTTTGGCATTCAGCTTCTTAAACATTGCTCATTGCAGCAACATGTGCTGCAGCTCTGGGGAAAGCAATTTTAGCAGAGAATGAGAAAAATATGAATAACTGCACATGAGATTTTCCAAAAATTATTCAGTTTGACAAAAATTAAAAAGCATGCTCTGGGAAACCCTAAAAAAGACACAGCGTCTCAAACTAACTTGAGCAGCTATCACTTGTTCTGTGCATCCCCATTACAACAACTGCTTTCTCAGAACATTATCCTATGAGAAATGAGAGCATTTTACTGTCCTAACCTTGGATGTACAGAAGTTATTTGGACACTTTGATCTGCATGGGGGTATAGGTTATATATCCCCTGTACTTGCTGGGGAGAGTTAATGGTCGTCCTGTGCTCCAGCACAATTTCTCTTTGGCACCTGGAGGTATAAAGCTGGGAAGACATATAATGACTAGAGTTAGATGGTCTTAGATCTTAATGGTTTTTCACTTGCTCACATAGACACCTCCCTGTCAAAGGGCATTTGATTACTCACAGAAGATCAGCAGTGACTGTTGAAGGCATTCCTAGTGAGGATCAGTATTGATGTATTTTATCAAAATGTTTAGTGAGTCTTGCTTCTAGATTGACTAAGAGCTGAAGTATATGCATTTCTATGTCTGATTGATAAGCTGAAAAAGATAGGAGGCTTCAAGGACTCCAGGAATATTCTTGATTCACAACCAGGAAGCTGAAATGGTTATATTTCCTCATTTGTAAAGTATATGGTATTGGCTTATTTCTAAGAAACAACTGAGATTCAGGGAAGTGTTGGGCAGTGATCAGATGTGAGCTACTTCCCATGGAGCAGTTCAGCAGGCAGTGTAGACACAAAGTATTCTGAAGGACTGAGGCTGAAATAGTCATTCTTGTGGAGAAAAATGATGTTCACCTTGTCTGGGCACACCTTTTTGTGTGACACGTTTTCACAGCACTGAAAATGACAAAGTCGTGCTGTGTGCCTGGCACAGCACAAGCACACACTGAAGTCACTCTTCTCATAGGTCTTCTGAAACCATCTCAGTCTAGGCAAGGGTGTCCAGGCTGATTTTAATCTCAATACTTGCTTTAAAGGGGGGGATCTATTAATGAAATTCGTTGTTAATGAAATGCCATTGACATCACCTCTTTTTGGGTCGACTTGGTATGAGAACATTTGAACTTCTAAATTGAGAAATTTTGTTTCTGTTACTGGAGTTACTGCTTTTCAGGTCAATCTGCAGTCCTACAAAGTGTCATTTTTTGAGATACATGGTAAGGTTATTAATGAGGTGCCACTCTTTCTAATAACAAAGGAAAAGAATGCTTTTTTGCCCCCCGCTGCATTCGCTGCTTCTTGCACTAGGTTATTGTTAGTTTTGCTTGTTCTTAATTGTAATACCTTTTATCATTTATTATTCTTTCTATTCTAGATGTATTCCTGGAGCATTTTAGTCCCCAGGAGTTTTGATATATTATAATACTTAGCACTTAGAAAGGAATCCTGCTTCATGTCATTTTTGCCATGAAGCAATAATTGTGATATAAGAAATTCCACTCACCTGGCCTCCAACTCTGCGGAGTGGAGGATTAATTTTTTTCCCTCAAATTCTTTGCTTTTGGTGAAAATAAGAGACTTAAGAGTTCTTTATGGGATATAGCATTTATTCCACTAGTTCGATGTGTGTTCTACCCACAAATGGCTTTTTTTTTTCTGTTGCAGCATTTTCAGCTGTTGAAGTTCTACTATTCTTACTCTTTAGGCAGAAACAGTAAAAGTTTAGGTCTGGAGAAAGGTGATTTCACTGGTGAGATGCCTGATAGTTGGTAGGGATTTTCTTCTGAATGGAAGAATGGATCTTTTTTCTCATATGTATTTGCTATGTTTTGACTTTGTGTTAGGGTATCAGAGATCTGGTGGAAGCTGCATTCCCAAATCCTTTCCACAAACCATCCTAAGACATCAGGAAAGCTCTTCATTAAGAGGGCCACTGGAACAGGTTCCCCAGGGTCATGT